GTGTGTATATGTGTATATGTATATATGTGTATATGTAGGTGTATGTATAAAGCAGCTGCATAGAACTTAATTAATTTTTAATTAATTTTTGTGTTTAGATTATCTTTCTCTTTGGCGGTGCCTCCAGTCCTTTAGGTAAAGACAAAGACAACAACAATAATAATAATAATAATAATATATACATATATTTGTCTTTTTGTTTTTTTTGTTTACCTATTTTCTGTTTGTTTGTTTGTTTGTTTGTTTGTTTATTTGTTTGTTTGCTTGTTTGTTTGTGCATTTGTTAATTTGTTTGTTTGTTTGTTTTTTGTTTTTTGTTTTTTATTTATTTGTGTATTTGTTTGTTTGTGTTGTCGCTGTTTGTTTATACTTTTATTATCTTCATCGTTTACTCCGTTGTTTGTTTATATTAACTTTTTGTTATTTGTTTTTTTTGTTTAATTAATTTATTAATTAATTAACTTTTTGTTTTTTATTGTTTTTTTTATTTAATTAAATAAATAATCAATTAATAAAAATTTGATTATGCAAACAAAAACAATTCATTAAACAAAAACGGGTAGTTAATAAACAATCAATAAAAAGCAGACAAATAAATAAATAAACAAAGAAACAAATAAATAAATAAACAAACAAATAGATAAACAAATAAAATAAATGAATAAAATAAATAAATAAATAAATAAATAAATTTGATTTGTGTTTGTTTAGATCCTCTTTCTTTCTTTTTTGTTCCTTGTCAGCTACAATGGAACAAATGGGAGTCCTTCGTTTCTCTCTCAGGTTAGCTTTTTTCTCTTTTTTATTTTTTCTTTCTTTTTTTAATTTAGTTAATTTAATTAATTTAATTAATTTAATTAGTTTAATTAATTTAAATGAACAAACTCTTTATTCTTTATTATTTTAATTAATTTAATATAACGGTGTTTTTGTTTTTTCTTTTATTTATTCTAATTAATTGAGTTAAGGAAGTGTTCGTTCTTTTTCGTTTTATTTAATTAATTTAATTGTGTTTTGAGATAAAGTAATACACCTTAACGAATTTAAATAAATAAATTTAATTAAATAAAAAAAATAAAAAAAAGAAAAAAGAAAAAAAAGAAAAAAAAGGCAAAAGAATGTCTCTTCTTTTTAATTCAAGTTTCGTTCATTTGTTGCTAACAAACCACAAAAATTTTATGTAAAGAAACTTTTTCTTTTTTAATTTAATAAAATAAATTTATTTAATTAAAAGAATTATATTAAATAATATTAAAAAACAAAATATATTTATTTAAAATATTTATTTAGTTTGGTTGCTGCTTTCTTTCTTCTTTGCACAGCTTCGTCAACAACACGAAAGCAGTAAGCTGCGCATACACCCCAGAGTTGTATTTTGTTTTGTATGTATGGGGCATCATTCTGCTGTAAATTATTTAAATTGAATGAAAATATTATTTATAAATTAATTTAATTAATTTATTTTATTTATTTTATTTATTTTCACGCAAAAAAAAACCCAAAAAATACAGATATACGCCTGGAGAGCCCGATGCTCCCCCCCGCGGTCGTTGAACAGTGGCGGCTTATGGGCGGAGAAAGCTGACGGTTTGTTTATAAATTTTTATTATTTTTTTATTTTTTTGTTTTTTATTTAATTTAAATTAAATATTATTCAGAAAAACACAAAAAAAAAGCGTTTTATTTCTCTATTTTACACAGAAAGCCAACACACGGAAACACAGAAACACAGGAGAGAGGCGCCGACGACCATCAACAGCAGCAGAGAAAACAAACAAAAAATATTTTAAATAAGAACAGAAAAATTAAATAAATAATTTAATTTATTAATTAAAAATAAAATACAAAAATTATTTAAATGAAATAAACCTCCTTCACAGCAATTTCAACAAAAACATCACAGCAGCAGCAGCAGCAGCAGCTGCAGCAGCAGCAGCAGCAGCAGCAGCAGCAGCTGCTGCTGCTGCTG